TGTCTCACAAAATAGAGAATATGAATAAAGAAATTATAAAAAAAGAACCATGTAGAAGTTCCAGAGTTGAAAATTATAAATATTGAAATGACAAATTTACTAGAGGAGCTGAACAGGTTTCACAGATAGAAGAAAGAATCTGCAAACTTGAAGATAGATCAATTGAGATAATCCAGTCTCAAGAACAAAAAGAAGAATAAAAAATGAACAAAGTTTCAAAGACTTTGTATGATACCATCAAGTGTACCAACACAAGCATAATGGGAATCTCAGAAGAAGAAGAAAAGAAGGGAAAGGCAAAAACAATATTTGAAGAAATAATGGCGTAAAACTTCCCAAATTTGATGAAAAGCATTAATCTACACATTCAAGAAGCTCAACACACTCTAAGTACAATAAGCACAAAGCAATCCATACCAGAACACATCATAGTCAAACTGTAGAAAAGCAGGCAGACTCTTTAAAGCAGAAAGAGAAAAATGGTTCTTCAAATACAAAGAAGCCTCAACAAGATTAACAGATGACTTTCCATTGGAAACTATGGAAGTTAGAAGGCAGTGGGATGACACATTCAAAGGGCTGAAAGGAAATACTGTCAAGCAAGAATTCTGTATCTAGCAATCATGTCCTTCAAAAGTGAAGGAGAAATTCAGTCATTCCAAGAAAACAAAACCAAAGATTTTGTGGCTTGCAGACCTGCCCCACAGCAAATGCTAAAGGGAGTCCTGAAGGCTAAAATAAAAGGATACTAGACAGTACCCAGAATCCACATGAAGAAATAAAGAGCACTGGTAAACTTAACTTCATAGGTAAATGTATAAAACAGTATAAACGTTAACTCTTTTTTAAAGATTTTTTTAAAGATTTGATTTATTTGAGACAGAGAGAGAGAGCAAGCATGAGCAGGTGGAGAGGGAGAAGCAAACTTCCTGCTAAGCAGGGAGCTGGATGTGGGGCTCCATCCCAGGACCCTGAGATCATGACCTGAGCCGAAGGCAGATGTTTAACGAACTGAGCCACCCAGGTGCCCCATTTGTAAGACATTTGTAACTCTTTAAAAGACAACCGCATAAAGCAATAATTAATTATAAAACTGTGTTGATGGTTTATAATGTATAAAAACAAATAATATTTGTGTGAAAATAATAGCACCAAGGAGAGAGGAGGGAATGATACTATATTGGAACAAAATTTTGTATGCTATGAAAATTAAGTTGGTAGCACTCCAAATAGATTAAGTGCAGATGTTAATTACAATGTCCAGAGCAACCACTAAGAAAATAATTAAATATATAAAATTAAAAGCAACAGAGTAGATCTGAGGATTTTAGTGCCCAGAATTAAGGACAATCATTTTAAGACAATGCCAACCTAAAATTCAAGATTCAAATTCCTGCAACAGGGAGTCTATTTGTTCTAGTATGGGTTATGACATTGCTCTGGTCAAAGGGTGGGGTTCCAAGATTGGCAGACCTCTAGAATTGCATGGGAGGGATAGCAGGAAGCATTTCCCCAAAGGAGTGAATTTGGGGCAGAAAAAAAAATGATAACCACTAAATGTGTTAACACTTTGTTAACCACAAATTTGATTATCAAAATAGTCTATTTAATGTGACTCTGCCAGATAATAATATACAGAAAATTTGTGCTATAATATAAATACAAGTACATTTGTGAATGGGGAAAAGTAGATTTATAGTGACTAAGTATGGCATTAAGAAGTAGGATGATATGTCAAATTCTTGAATAAATCATGAAATACTGAAATAGAAGATTGGTTTCTGAAGATATTGCAAAATCTGGTTTAGTTTCCTAAGCAATGTATTGTCTGTAATCATAAGGCATGTGAAATTAACTTGATGTCAACTTGAATAAGTTGTGGTTGATTTTTTAAATTCCCGAAGTTAAAAGATAAGAGATTGGGGAAAGTACACACAACACATACAACATATTAAAGAGTTACTATCTGTAATGTATAAGAAATGCTTATACTTTGAAAAGAAGAAGACAGTAACTCAAGAAGGAAAATGAATGAAGTATATAAATAAGCAATTACAGGACAGAAAATTCAAAGGGGAAAAAGAATAGCTTCACCAGTAATCAGAGAAACACAAAGAACAACAAACTACCTCTATTTGCTTGTCCAAATGGCTAAAGTTATCCAGAGGCAATCGTTACAACCTTTTAGTAGGCAACCTGTTGACATTTTAAATAGACCAATCTCATACCTAGGAATTAATCCTTCAGAAATCAAAGTACCAAGGCATTTAGACATACATATAAGGATGTTTACTGAAACATTCATGGCAGTGGCAATTTTTTTAAAAAAGAATTTGCCATGAATAGAAGAACCTGTGAATAAATTTTGGTATATCTAAAACATTATGCATCCCCTAAAATAAATGAATTAAAGCAATACTAGTTGCATTGAAAGGATTTTTAAGACTTATTATTTCATGAGAAAAGCAAGAAGCAGAGAAGTGTATATACTGCAATACCTCATTTTGTAAAATAAATAAAAAACAAAAACAACTGTATATATATATGAAGTTATGTTTGCATGCTTAACTTTTTAGATAGTTGAGGGTGAGGGAGAGTAGTGAGGGGGAGAGTCAGGTAAGAAAAGATTAAAAAAAGAGTGTGTCTGAAAGAAGCACACATGAAGTGATTCCACGTGGGCATACATAAATGGATATATGCATAAAGAGATGCATGAATATATGATCACTGAAATACTGACAGTGGTTATTTCAGGGTGTGGGAGTTTATTTCCTTCCTTATACTTTTATGTACTTGAACTTTTACAATAAGCACACAGTTTATATACAACCAAAGAATAGTTATTTATTTTAAAATGTGTGTGTGGCCAATTGCCATGAGGGCTGAAGATGAGTCAGAAATATACCTTGCCTTGCAGGCCCTGACAGTGAGCAGACAGGAGGACACACCAGCTGTAACATACAGTTGAACTTAGTGCTGGAACAGAAACAGAGAGAGCTGGGAGAGACATTAATTGATCTCACAGATCTGACTGGGAAGATCTGGAAGAACTTCATTAAAGTAGAAGGCATTTGGATTGGATCTTGAAGGCTTGGGAGAAATTCAACTGGCAAAGACGGGGATAAAGGGAAATCCGGGATAAGGGGAGAGTGAGCAAAATAAACAGGGGCATTAAAAACCCAGGGGTCATTCAAAGAATAGCAACTGACCCAGTTTAGTGTAACTGGAACACAAGTGTTGAGTGGACAGAAGGTAGGAAGCTCGTTCACAATTGTGAAAGTAATTTATATTCCAATTGCAGAGGGGAGTTACTCCAAGTTTGTGCGTTGGGGGTGGGGGGCAGGTAAAGGTAGGAGGAATGTTTTATCAGGAGAGTGGCATTCTTAGGTCTGTGTTGGGGGTGAGGAGAGACAGGAGGCAAAAAAAGCCAGTTAGGAAACTATTAAAATGATTCAGCCCAAGGTAATAAAAGTCTGACAAGAGCACCAACGTGGGAATGCAGAAGAGGGGAAAGATTCCAGAAACCTATCTGAGGTAAATAGGGCAGGAAGATGGAAAACCTTCTGTGCCTGGCAGGTGAGGGGTTGGGAATACTCCACTCTGAGAAAGAGAACGCTGGGATTGGAGGTGGGAGCCACATTCAAAGAAAGATTCCAACATCTTGCAGAATGTAGAGGGAATGGTGAGAATGATGAGCTAAAAGCAAAGAGAAATTCTGAGGTAAAATAAAAGCCCCACAGAGATCAGAAAGTCAAATCCTCAATGTAGGACTATAGAACCTAAGATCTAGTTCTGCTCTCTGAAGTCGTCTGTCCTAAGGAAAATATGAACCCAAAAGCCTTCTTAACTATAGCAACACACAAGGAGGAAGATCTAATGGGTCCTCCTCGGTTTCTTCAAGTTCCAAATGAAAGCATCTGGAGCTATAGAATGAGAACTCTGCAAAGAATCCTGAACAAAATCTCAGAAATAATTCTTGCTCTTGGGCAATCCAGCTTTTTGCCCAACTGCCTTGAGATAACCCTTGGCTATCCGTTTTCCCTCTTATTTTCCCCCTGGGTAGAACCCTTCCTGTGAAAAAGAACTCTGGGTAAGTAACTTCGTGTACGAGGCATCTAAAAATGTCACCACCGTCGGGGAGCAGCCCCAGCTGGCTTTCCTCCCTTACCCCCCTGGCCAGCCAGGGGTTTCCTCCAGGCACTCGTGAACATGTGGCATTTCCCAACCGGCATAAATACGTCTGAGATTTTAAAATAGAATAAATGGAAATATGAAAAGTCTAAACAGATTCCCGAGACCCTTTCCAGATCTCCCACCCTATGACTTCTTCAGGGTGTCTTAAACACAGAGGCTCACACATCTTTGAATGGATGGACATCTCGTTTGTGGTTTCCTTTTAGCATTCCTGGAAAAAGTAACGCCCTTGTCTTTCTGATTATAAAATAAGTACAAACTCAACGTAAAGAATTTTAAAAACCTAGAGAGCATAAAATAAGAACACTACTTGGTGACTGCGCCCCAGAAATAAAAAAGGAACTTTCGCGTGGAATCCTTCCAGCCTGTTCCTGGCCAGTTTGGGCCCCGCGGGCCGAGCCGGAGCGCCGCGGGCAAGTGTCCCGCGGGCGGAGGGTTTCGGAGGCCGGCGGCCGGAGGCGGGGCTGCCCCTGCAGCCGCGGGGTAGGCGGAGAGCGCGACGCGTGGCGTGTGC